CCCTGTATCATGCTACTTATCCAATTGTGGGAGGTAGGGTTAAAAGAAGATGACTGTAACATATAATTCCCACTTTAATATATAAAACCCAGACCAAACCAGTTGCCTTAAGATGATTCTGATTCATGATGATCCATATGTATCAGAGTAAAACTGAGCTCCATAGAATTTTCAATGGTTGACTTTTCAAAAGTAGATTATCAGGTCTTTCTTCCAAGGTTTTGGGTGGACTCAAACCTCCAACCTTTCAGTGAGCAGCCAAGTGTATAAACTGTATACAACACACGGGGACTTCTGGCAGATTCCAAAAACCAAACTCACTGCCATTGAGTCTATTCCTTTGGATTTCTGAGGTGGTAAATCTTTACGGAAGTAGATTGCCCAGTTTTCCTTCCATGGAGTGGCTGATGGGTTTGAACTGCCAACCTTCTGGTTAGCAGTCAGGTGCCTTAGGCACTAAGCCACGAGAGCTGCTTTCTGGCAGATTACAGACTAATTATTTTGTAGATGTTTCTCATTTTTGATTTGTTGGTCAATTTGTTGTTTGGGTTTAATGGCCATGTTTGGTGCTTTTTTTTGGTGCTTTATATAGAGCATGCTCTATGAAATATCAGAAGTAATATTTTCAAGTTTCACTAAACCAAACAAAACCTTATTTTTTAAGAGTAAGCTGATTATCCGTAACACCTTATTTCCAGCTTTTCTGGCAAGGCTTTAAAATTGTTCTTCCCAGTTCAATAATGGGTGACAAAGTGAAGACAGAATGGACCTGAATTTGTAAAATGTGGTGAACCAGAATGGTAACTGAAACAGGAAAAATTATAGGTTGCTGCTCCACTAGAAATTTAGTCTCTCTTAAAAAATAAGGGCAGCATGCATCTTGAGTAGCAACCAAATCTCTTGATTGGTGAAGTTGGAAACGGCATGCCCCACTTAGAGATGATGCTGACTCCACAACTTTGAATGTGTGTCATCCTCCACAGCCCCTCAGTAATCTATCAGATCCAACTCACAGC